CGGCCAATCAAATGGCGGTTAAAACCAATGACGCATCATTTTTTTTATCAGTTTAGGGACTCGGGAGTGTATCTTTCGATATTAAAAGTACTTTACCCTCCTATTGTGGCTACTTTTATACTTTTGGGTGTTTTCCGCAATCGTCACCAGCAAGTTATTCAAGGTTGCGCTCTACGTTACCGTCAGGTCGGTTAGTCAACTACCTTGAATTACACTGGCGCTCTGTTCCGTAATCCGCCCAGTAAAAACAGCAGACGACAGTCAACAGCGATTAAATCTTTACACTTTTTTTTTGACTTTTACGTCGTCTGCTATTTCAACTGATGGCCAGATTACGATATAGAGTGCCAGTTAATTTAAGGTAGTTGCCTTACCGACATGACGGTAACGTAGAGCGCAACCTAAATTACTTGCTGGTGACGATCGCGGAAAACACCCAGACTGTGTTGGCAGTCGGCGGAAAGCAAAACAGATTAAGACCATACGATAAGTAAACGCAGGCGGATAGTGTAGGTCCTATACTGCTGAAACAAATTTATTGAGTTGTATTTATCTTAAAAACACATATACTTGTAGTATTCATATCAATAGTAAATGAAATATATTAATCAAAAGTTTATGAATTCATTCTCGCAGCTTTTAAAATGTGCGAGCACGGAACATGAAAATGTTGGAACGGCGGAGGTACCTGGTGGAATTTTCCCTACATCTTTCTTTCCCCTCAAGTCTCCACGTTCCCAGGACGCGAGAGAGTATATTGGGTGCGTTCCGTAAGCTCCAACAGTTAATCTTCAAATATCTTTGCATCCTATAGATGACATTTAAGTGCAAGGGGAAAAGCTCGATTTGTTATTTCTCTTACGCTAATTATAGTTATCTACACATTATCTAAATACTTAGATTAAACGGTCAGTGCTTACGGAACGCATTCGTATTCCGTAGTCCATTGTACTGGACTCCGTACCCGTAGTGGAGCTATTCACATAGACATTTTTTGCTTATTTCATTGTGAATGTTCATATTGAAGAGGGGGTTCCACTGTTTCGCTAAATTCAAATTGAGTGAACGGACTGAACAGACCTATACCTCTTTTTCCATCAGGCAACAAAGCCTATGGTCGCAACTATGTTGACTCAATTTGAGTTTAGCGAAACAGTGGAACCTCATTTTTAATATGAACGTTCACAATGAAATAAGCAAAAAATGTCTATGTGAACAGCTCCTGTGTCTTTTTCTACTTGTGCTTCAGTGCGGTACGTAAGAACAAGCAGTGCCGGCAGTCTATTTTTTGTCTATGGTCGAGAATATTTGCGCTCTGCCGTGTGTTCCAGTAGCGCTCTCCGACAACTACCGACAACTTTAACATGACGCAAGATATCGTAAGACATAATTAAGTTGTCGGTAAGTTGTCGGAGAGCGTTACTGGAACACACCTCTGGCCTCGCCTCTGCGGCCGTCTGGTGTATGCGTGTTTTTGTGTATGTGCCAACTCGAGGCGCGGTGATTTAAAAATCGTTTACGATCCCGTGCCAGCTTCGAATCAAGTTTCAACTCCTCATAGGTATACTTACTTATCCACATTTTTTTTTATGTTCATCATCGCCCTTAGGCGCTCAGACATGGCTTTTTTTACACAAGCACAGTGTTTTTCGGATATTTTTGCAAACCTCAGTAATATAACCAAATGTCTCACACGTATAAACACCAAGGCTAACTCAATCACACTCATAATCAAGTTGACGAAGCGAAAGGGAAAAAGTTATACATCCTTGTATTATAATAAGTTGAGAGTGTCGATGAGTCAACGATGTGAGTCTACTCTGGTATAGTCTTGAACTTCCAGGGGCCCTATATCCTCTAAACGTGTTGATAGGCGACATATAGCCAATACACAGCTTAAGGAGCTCTCTGATTGGTCGAAATTGACTGTGTTGGCCTGGTGTCAGTTGTGTCACCCACCGACACACTTAGACTACTTAGAGGATAGGGCCCATAGACCATAAGCCCGTGTGAGCGCGAGTGAGAAGCAATAACATACACGTACTCTCTTTCTCGCACTTACACGGGCATATGGGCTGATCCTGGAACTGGAAGTTCAAGACTCCATGTACCTACTTGTATACGCATCCTATAAGTATACTTACGAATGATCTCGCCAATGATCATTGCGATGTGCGTGATCTCCCCCAGGGGAAAACCAACGCCCTTCCCAAAAGGTAAAACCTTGTCTTGTTATATTTATTTGGCTTTTGGGTACCTAATTGGACTTTGTTATGCCACATTTCATGCTTGTTTTAGAGTATTTACGTAATTTTTGGTACCGCTTTTCCATTACTGACAACGATGGCATGGTAAACATCCAAGAGCCACGAGCTATTACGGTGATAATGGAACATATGTAACAGAAAAAATTCCATAGGGGTGCCGAGAGTGTGCATAGAGCGGGGATCGAACCCTACAGCCCTCCAGGCGGAAGGCAAACGCTCTCCCAACAGGTAGAACCGAGAATCCCGCGAAAATTCAAGCGCGCAACGTCGCCAACCACTATCACCACCAAGAGGGTGGTGGCGCCAATATCACCCACCACCAACCAGCCAACTATAGACATCAGCATCCCTCTCTCTCTCTCTCTCTCTCTCTACTTCATGTCCATAGTTGCGTCACACGACGACGATAAGATAGGTATAGGGTGGTACAACGATGACGACGATCGATGCTGGGAAATAGCGCACCAAGGGCCGTGTACACCTAGTACGCGGTATATATTAATATATACAATGCGCGCTCCCAGCAGCGCCGAAGACCCCCCACCGCCCTTTCCTCGACGACGGTGGCTCTCCTTCGGGGCCCTCCATCCCCTTCTCGTACCCCCGTGCTCCTCTCTCTCTCTCTCTCTACACACCTATATCATCATCATTGGGCGCGTATATTGCTTACACAAGTATACTCTCGGCTCGTGTGTGTCTCTGCCGTGTAAGTTGCGCGCGTACACCACCACCCCCTCGTGAGAGTCTTCCGCAGTTCACTGGGGGGGCACAGGACGTGTACACATGTTCCGTCGCGCGATCAATAGTTATTGTTAAACGAGCTTTTATTTTTCCCGTCTCTCGCTCTCGCGTTCATCGCTACGATTGTTGTTATTGTTATTGTTGTTGTTATTGTTGTTGTTGTTGTTGTTGTTGTTGCCGTTGTTGTTGCAGACAGAGAAGACACCCACATGACGCGGAAAAAATGCCCCCGTAATCGGCAAGGCTGATATGGCCCGGAAATCGTGAGTATATACATAATATTCTCTCTAAACAACCAACAACCCCCAACATTGTGTAAATATACATATGTATGGTACACTGATGAAATAGTTTAAAAAAAAAAAACCACACACACTGTCTCGCGTGTACTCACGCGCACACGCACACACATGCAATAACCTCCCTTTCTGCACCCTCGCTCTCGTGCCGATCGATTATCACGCGGACGTGCAGCACCCGCGCCTACGTTTTACACTCCTGCAAGCTTCGACGCCGTCTACCCCTATTGAGTTTTTTTTTTCTTTTTTTTTTTTCCTTTTCAAAGCATCTTTCTCTCCTAGAGATCGTCTTGGGGATCCCCGTCTGTTTTTGCTGCTCCCAACTGTCGAGGGATGTGGGATCGCACGGGGTCAATCGAAGAGTGCTCTGGCTATAGATAAGTGTGTGAGTGCCCGGAAGGGGGTCGCGTGATCGATGGTACCGAGTACAGGAATGAAACTCTGCGGCTTTTGCTGGGTGTAGTTGTTGCACCGACCCTCACCGGTTGAGCATCCCCGTGGGGTATCGAAGCTTGCGTATGGAAACTTTTTTTCCCTCAATTTCTAACAAAAAAAAAAAAAAAAAAAGCTAATCGGTGTAAAAGTCTCCATATGCCCGAGGTTGGGAGGGAAAATTGATCGGTTTAGTTTACAAAGTTCAAGGATCACAGCCAATGCGCTTATTTAATTTCCGTCGTCGCCCACTTTCTTCATCTAATACACGCGTCGCACCCACCCCTCAATGACTCGCGGCCTCTTCTTTCTCACCCACTCGTGTGTACGTGAATCAGTGCATTATAATTATTATTATCATCGTTGTCATATCCCTGGCAGTTATGTTTTTCTGCACTTTCGTTAAATTAAAAAAATTTATATACGTTTGTGGATTGAAAAACCAATGGAAGTCTTAATGTGATATTATATTGCTCTGTTGCACAACGCAGCGGTTTGCATAATTCCGCGGATGGAGCGTTAACGTATTTTGTACCCTAGGAAAGTATACAAATTGATCAATTGCCGTGTAGTTCCAAGAAAATTTAATTTTATCGTGTAGTGAAAACAAGTTTTGCACCCGATAAGAGAGAATGTTGCGTTTGATTCTCGAGTATTTTCATAAATCCAGAAGGTGACGTACTTTTAAAGCGGCATCATCGAAATAATTTTACAAAAGTTGGACGTTTCTATTTCGAGCTAGATCGATCGCGAGCAATGTTGGAATTCTTTCACTTTAAGGAATGTAATATTCGAACGGGGTTTTTTTTTTTTTTTTTTTTAGAAAGATTACTTTACAAAAAAGTTACCATACCTTCCAACTTGGGAAAATTCATAGTCCTACCTAGGAGCATCTTGGAATTCATATTTTTCATTCAACGACATAATAAAGTATTTTGAGCCATGAATGGCAAAACTCGTTTGACGAAATTGCATTCCGATTTGCAGTGTTTCTTACGCGGATTCAATTTTGATTTCTAAATCGGGTAGAAATCGATCAATTTTATGAAGCAAGTGCTCTTAATTTAATTATTTTAGCTAAAAACGATACATAGAATCGAGGAATCGATTATTAAGGATACAACAACTTTTCACTCGTCTTGGATTGAAAATCATTCGTTTCAAACCAGTGAAAATGTCGATTTTGTTTGTGAGGATATTTAAATAAAAATACGACATACGTCATCTTGCAAAATCTGTATTGTTGACTTTAATGTGATTTTATTTTTCCCTCATCGATTCGCAAAGTTTGAATTGACGAGTAGTAACGATCTGATGAACCGTTGCTTGAAATTCAGTTCACTTGAGATTGAGAAAAAAAAAAAAAAAAGACATTGCCATCGGTTGAATCGATTTAAAAATAACTTTGTCCCTCGCAACTCCGTCCGAAGCATTTCGTGAAAAAATCCCACCGACTCTCCCGCAAAGCACGAAATGTTTACTGCACCTCTCGATTGTTGAATCTTTGAAAAAAAAAAAAAGAAAAAAGCCTTCACCTTTTGGGCAGAGAAAAAAAGAAAAAGTAACCCCAGTCATTAGTATACAACCACCCCCTCGGTACACCTACCCCCCCCCCACTCAGCTCGCATAAACGACAGTAGATCTCGTACGACTGCTACGTATAGGTAACAGCAGGGTTCTACCCCTGACCCTGCACTATGCTTTACCAGTACACACACGTATGTATAAGCATTGTTGGCGTAACAAAGACACCTACAATCATTCCCTCTGTCCCCGCCACCCCCGTTATCCTCGCAATAAGAGACACAGCATGCGTACGTCTATTGTAACGCGTCTAGGTACGTACAACAGTCCACCACCACCACCACCAGGGATAGGTATAACGCGTAGGTAAGGTGTATCGACTACGTAGGTGGAGTACGAATAAGATAGAACAAGGGTGAGGCAAGGAAAGGACGGGTGGCGGGGGGTGGCTCGGCTTTGGCCCCGGTCGTGTGCGCGCACCACGGATAGTCACATAATATATAGCCGCATCATGTATACCCATCACGGTAGAGCGAAAGCGAGAGTGGGTGTATATATATATATACCTACAACGCATACACGGACAAAACGACGCGCAAGGGCGACTTTTTCCACCCCCCCCCCTCCCTATCTGTGGCTCTATGCTCGCCCTGGCTTTCGCTCCGGGGGAGGATGGATACGAAAGTTGGTATACGTTGGCGGTGGGTTGGTGCGCGGCGGGACTCGTATCTCCCTCGCGGCAGAGATAGGGTGGCTCAGGACGGGCACACGCGTCGCGAGAGGCTCTCACTGTCGGCGATCGATCGAATATCGCCACACACCGAGTAGAGTACACTTACTTACGTCGGCCGTATAATATAAGTGTGTACAGTGTAACGTGCGCGCTTGGCTCTCGCATCAGGTGCGTTGGTGTCTTTTTGTTTTATTTCTTGCCTATTCGATACATGTGTAAGTGCTTGCATCTACCCTCCACTTTTTTCCTTTTTTTCATCTCACTGTATCCATATTCTCGACAACGTAGTGGCTCGAGCAATCCAGTGACCACAAGTGTTTGCCTTTTTATCCCTATCTGCTGTACTGTATGTGTATGTACGCGTATGGTGGATTATTGTACGTATAGTTGAGGGAACTACGGCGAGGATTGTGCGTCGTTGATCCAGGGTTTTTTACATTCGACGATTGCGCGGCTGGCCGCTCGCGTTTGTTTCATTGAGCGACTCCCCGTTTCCCCCCCCCCCCCCTCATTTGTTGGTCTTTCCCTTTTCCCAATTGGGCTCGAGCACAGGTCCAACCAGGTGCACCCGCGACATGTGATGCACGCGAGGTACGTGTCGGATTAATCGTGTTTTCTGTTCGCGCGCGGCACGGGCGGGTGGCGATCCGTGTCAAGGTTACCGAGAGATCATGGATTAAAGCGAAAGTGTCCTTTTGCCACTTGGATTTCACAGCGACTTCCAATCGCGTCGAATAAGGTTTGGACCAGGTGCCAAAGTGGCCCGGCACACTTCCTTGGCCCACAAAGGTACAAGTATACAAGTAAGAGGAGGAGGAGGCGTACTTTCGGGTCGGTATAACGGAGGAGACCCGCCTGCACTTTTCTCCCCCCGTGGCCCACGACACCCCTCTTTCAAACAAAATACGGGGGATGTTGTGCCCAATAAAAAATTAACCAGCTCGCCGCCGGCTGATGAACTTTGATCAACGTTCCTCCTCCACGTGGGAAAGAGCTCTATATACATGTATGTCCCACAGTTTTCAACATTCCTTGTCCGTGCGTACAGCGAGCTGCTTCAACTTTGCCGGGCGAACAGTTGAGACCAGTCTTTGACGACACGACGAACTTAGAGATGCCGAGTACGAGTTTTTCCGCCATCGTGTAAAAAAAAAAAGTGCTCTTATGTGTCGGACTGTACCGCAGAGGGATCATTAGACTAGAAGCACTAAAATGTATGCGTGGTCTTTCAGTCTTTTTCACCCACAAGTATAATTTTACCGAGCATCACCATATATTGTAACGAACCGTGCCTATACCTGTGTGAAGAGGTAAAGCGCGAGCATTGTAACGCGACCCAAAAACCTATAATTAACTGATGCCCAACCTACGTAACTACAACCGGGAAACTTTAATACATTTTAAAATGTATATCAACTCATTACCATGTAAGCAGTACACGCACCCAGTGTTACTAAGTAATTGTACTTTTGTAAGTATACGCACGCTTTGTAAGAGGACCATTTTTCAATAAGCGTTGCATATTCCACCTTTCGCCGAGTCGTGCAAAAGCGTCGTGTGTGACCTTCACCTCCATTCGCAGCCCGGCCCCATCTATAACCATTCCGATTCCCCTGTATATACACCCACCCCCTCAGTTAATATCCACCGAGCGCACTATGGCGATTGCTCTCGGCGCGCTTCGCTGAAAATCCCATTGTTCCGTCTCCTCTTTCCGTTATTCCGCGCAAAATGAGCCCATCTCCTCGTTTCCTTCCTCCCCCCGATGGTTTATTCAACCGACACATTTCCATACGAATTTACAGCCCCCGTGTGTACACCCGATTTACCTTATCGACCAAAAATACCGCTTTACCTTGAATTATTAAAGGTAATGGCCCAACTCTTACGGTACATAAGACATAATTACTCCAGGGAAGAAAGAAAAATCAAGTGTACACGTATAAGTGTATACAGTGTAGCCCCCCGCTCCTTCACTCTCCGTCACAATTGTTCCACGTCACCACTGACTTTCGGCCGGTTTGCTCTCCTATACATATAGTATATATACGTAACGGGGGGCGCAGGAGTCGCGCGAATTTCTAGTTTCCCCTACCCCTTCTTTATTTAGGGGGCGACCAATCGATAAGCCTCCGGGCGGTGTGGCTCTCTCGCCTCCGTTTCGGGATTTCGTTCGATTCTCCAACGGATTGTTCACATGATTTTCTTTTCTTTTTTCTTTCTTCAAACGTTGGATTTTACTTGGAACTTTTTTTTTCTCCCCCTATGGCCCGGAAAATCTATAGTTGAGGTTTTTCCTTTTCCGAGGAGGATTGAATCGCGGGGGGCTCTTTTTTCCGTCTCGCAACTGCATAAAAATAGCTTCGGACGTCGTTGACATTTTTTCGCTCGTTTCGCTTTTGATCCGGTGATTGGTAAGCCACACTCGTCCATCGGGTGGTTTATCGAGTTGGGGCAGTTTTGTCATCGGTTTATTGACCAATTTCCGGGGGGGGGGGGGCTCCCACCTTTCTGACTTTGGTTTAATATGGTACAAGTTGTAATGAAAGAAACGGGGTTAAACGATCGAGGAATGAAAAATACCTCCCCAGCGGTACCATTACCCCGATTCATATCGATTTTTTTCTAACTGCATGTTTTTGAAGTGATCTATTCTGGTGCACTTTGCGATTCAAACTGGTATAATTTTTGAAGAATAAATTATTAACCAGTCGACGCCGTCGCGAGGATGCATCAATCATTTCAGAAATAATAAAGTACAAAATTAACGATAATCAAATTGGAAAATTTCCTTCTTACCTATCATTTTATTCCGTTGCAGGTCAGGTTTTTGTTAAAATTAATTGCCCATTTATTGATAAAGTATTCGTAGTCAGTGGAGTAACAAAAGTGGATGGAAAGAAAAAAAAAACTAAAAATTCGTTCGCCAGCTCTAGTATTTTCTCCCGTTTGCCATAAAAAAAAAAAAAGAAAGTTCTCCCTCGTTCGTGCGCTTTGAAACTACCGTCCACCTATTTTCTCGATAAATTTTTCCAGCCAAACATTTACGTATATACAGGGTGTACACCTCCGTGAATTAATTTTTCGACGCACGCCACCCTTTGGCACACCCACGCTCGCCCCAAAGCGCCCACGCAAATAGTGTATAATTATATACTGTGAAAGTTTCCTCTCTGAATTTCTGGGCTACCAGCAACAACAAAAAATGGGCATCTGGATCAGCCGAACGAACCACCTCCAAGGCGCTTACGTTGGTCCCCCACGCGCGAGAGAATCAGTTTCGCCGCAACCGAGAGACCTCGTGTGTATAACTCGCCGCAAACGCATGTGTATATTATACATAGGCGCGATGTAAGTATATAACAAGGCTCCATCTCCTCCTTCTCTCAGCTGGCAGGGGATCAACGTCGCGATAGTTGCTTCCTTTTTTTTTTCTTTTTTTTTTCACCATCCTCCAGTGCCATTTATTTATCCCCATTTTTGGGTGGTGATATCGATTAGGTCTGCGCTCGCAATGCACCAATTCCGCGAAAACACATGTTACGGGTACATTAGATTACTGACGTATACATTTAAACCGTTTTTCACCCATGAATACTTAAATGGCCATTTATACTTTTTATACCTTTTGTGTTTTATTTTCGTAGCGTAAAACAACACCTGAATGATAACTACGACTACTCCCTCATAAATGGGTAATGTCGCGCGTTACGCACGCGTTGAATTATCAATGCTATACGATAATACGCTCAACGCACTTAGCGCCCGCATGTAAGCGATGCACGAGCACGTGTTAATTTTAGATTCGTGCTGCCCGTACTTATAATTGCTCGCTAATGTTGGATCAACTCGAAAAGACTTTGCGATGAAATATTGATGAGGGCGCGTACAACGAGAACTTGGATGTTGGGTGCCATTGTCTCGTGTAGGAAATTTCATTCGAACAAATTTTAACGTGGTAGCACGAGAGCGAGCGAATCCACCCCGTCTGACCTGTACTCGGGTTTTACTACTGATTTTGGTCTTGTGTGAGACTGCAATCATTGTTTCCTGATGATACCCACGCCTGTTACAAAACACGGGTATAATTTCACCCTCCCCTCTCCCTCCCAAAACACTTAAAAATTCAAGCGTGTTTAAACGGAAAAGGTGGATGTCCCAAGTACTAAAGCGGACGAAATGTCCCAATAGTCGGTCACTTTTTTCTTTTATAGGCTTTCGCTATATTTCATTGGGTACACATGCAGGTAAAGTCCGAGTAACTACCCAATTTATCTATGTTGTGAAAATTTATGCATTGGAATAATCAGCCGAATGATCGACTATTGGGACATGACCGAGCACAGGAACATCGGGCCGTATAGTTGAAATTTCGTATTGTGGTGCTGAAAAAACAACCAACGCGATGTGTCGTAAACCATTTGGCCAAACCTATTGAACTAAGTCTTTCTCGCGCTTGTGAGCTCGTTAAATCTGTGACAGCCAAATTTTGTCACCCCCCACAGCCCACATTGGGTTTTTTCACCCCGTACCAAAGTGTCCAGACGAGGTGAACCACTTGGCGCGACGTATTCGACAAAAAGCCAAACGCGCGTACACGGCGACACACTTGGATTAACATCGAAGCTCAGTACTACTGTTGCAAATGATGGTAACTTTGCTGTTGTTCTTTCCGTTTTTGACCCGCGCAGAGGCCCCCGCATCACGGTAGCTCTTAGAGGATGCACAAGCTAGCCAAGGGCCTTAAGAAGAAGAAAAAGCAGAAGAAGGGCAAGAAGGGCGAGGACGCGGAGGAGTTCGAGCCGGAGGAGCTCGAGCGGTACAGGCGCGAGAGGGCAGAGGCCCAGCAGAAGCAGCTCGAGGCAACAGCGGAGCCACCGGCGGCCGCCAACGACTCATCGGCAAGCGGCCCCGACGGGGGGCCCAAGAAGCCGGCCGACAACGACGAGTGGAAGCGCTTCCAGGCCCTGACCTCGGGCATCGACACCGTCCTCAAAAAGACCCAGGACGACCTCGACCGCATCAAGTCGACCTCGTTCTACCAGCGCAAGGAGAAGGAGCCCGAGCCCGACCCGGAGGAGAGCCCCGAGGTCCAGGCGCGCCGGCAGGAGCTCGCCAAAAAGTACGCCGGCTTCGACGAGCACGGCAATCCCATCGAGCTCAAGGACGAGCAGGAGCCTGCCAAGGACAAAGCCCTACCCGTCACCGAGGACGGTTTCGTCGAGGTGCCCGACGACGACGACGAGCACGACGACTCGGCCGACGAGGACATCTTCGACACCGCCTACGTCGACGTCATCCAGAACGTTGACGTGCAACTAGCTTACATCCCCGACAGCCCGACCGAGGAGGAGTTGGGCGACGACCCGTTCGACACTAGCCAAGGTACGTATGCGATATATGATGTGCCATCCGTGCCCAAAATGGGACTGTGAAAATTGGGTGTTTCCAGCTGACAAGGTACTGAAGATTGTGGACACAAAGACGGGGAGGAAGCTCGTAAGCCTTGGCAATGCGGCGGAGGTGCTCGCCGGTAGGGTGGACCACGTGAGCACGTGCAAGATAGGGAGGAACCGGCCGAGGCAGGCCCAGGACTTGCTCATTGGGGACTTTGACGCGGAGTTGCCCGTGGTACAGGTGGTGGACGAGGACGCGGCGCCGGTGGTGATCGAGAAAACGTTGCTGGACGACGACAGCGACTTGCCGGACGTCGACCTGCCACCCGTTGATCTGACCAAGCTGCCGCCCATTCTTAGCAGGCCGATCACGCCCGCCAACCCCGAGGACGCTGCCCTGACCGGCAATTCTCTGGACATTGGTATAATTCATTAAATGACTATGGGTGTACATTGTATTTTCAGTAGGGTGTTGCAAAGTGGAGGGAAACCAATGATTCGGTGATGCAAGTATTTATGTGTCCGAGTACTTACTCCTGGGAAAAAAATTGATGTCGATATTTTTATGTTATATGGGTCATTCTACTGAAAATGGCTTATTTCGAGGGCCACAATGGACAAACACTTGAAACGGGTTTTTCATTTTTCTAAAAAATTTTTTTGTATCGTTCGTGACCAAAATAAGCTAAAATTTTTAAGGCCCTGCTGCATCTGCACGAGAAAATTTTTAAGATTTTTTTTTTATCATACTTTTCAAAAATAGTAGGGTTACGGTTTGGAAAAATCATTTTAAGATCATGATTATACCACTCACGGTGAGAACTTTGATGTACTGAGCCCTACTATTTTATACTATATACTATTCGAGTCGATAATAAAACACTGCACAAAGATATGATGCGATTCGTTCAAAAAAAGTAGCGTTACCTAAAAAAAAGTACGTTTGTACCTTCAGTGATAAACATCCCTTGAATAATTAAACAAGTTTCCAGATCGATATCTCCTTAAACGACTTTGTATTCGGTTGGGACATAAAATATGCCGTTTTCAGTGGAATGACCCATATATTATATTCTACAAACCAATATAAATTATCCTAGCAAACACGTTTTCTTGAGATTTCTTTTGGATGTCTTGTAGACTTCTGATGTCCATCTGAAAGACATCTTAGGAGAGTTTCGGAAGTAAATTTCTCAAAGATGTCTTTCAGATGGGCATTAGAAGTTTACAAGGTATCTAAAAGGAATTTCAAGAAAACGTGTTTGCTGGTATTTTACGAACGAATATATATATTAGTTTTTACTTTTACCATGAAGTTCATCACGTAGTGTACGTACGTTCAAAGATTTCAAAAAATTGGCGGTCGAGAAATACTATCTGTTGTATAGTAGATGCATTTGCAGCGTTTTTTTTTAAATGTGCATGAAAATGTTCGGTAATGTCAAAAAGCAAAATTATAAAAACTAACCGTACTGCGTCTGATGAAACTCAACTATTGTTGATGCATGATACGTTGTATTAAACCGAGACAAGTTAAAGTTCGGTACAAACGGAATAGAAAAAAAACAAATGTACCGTACGAACGAAAGAAAGTGAGGTTGGCGGTGTAAATACCCAATTTTTTTTGCAATGATAATTAAAATGAAAGGGTACGCGTTGAATGACATTTGTATCCCCCAATAGTCATTATTGCCGTCGGTATAAATTTAACACGAATAGTACACGAGTGACGTTGTAAAAAGAACCTGTGTTTTTTATGTGCATAGTTTCCGAGTTCGAGCTTCTGAAGGACAAGACTATCCTCGACGAGATACCGGTGTTGGACGAGGAGGAGTTCGACTTGGAGGCACCCACTGACGAGCCGGTCGTGCTCGAGGAGCCCGAGGACCCTTTCGCGGAGACGACGAGCCTCCAGCCGCAGGAGCTCGAGATAGTCGAGGTCGCGTTCGAGGTCGCGACGTTCGTCAACGAAGAGGTCGACCCGTTCGACACGAGCTATGTCAGCAACATCGAGCCCGGCCAGGCGGAGCTCAGGGTCATCGAGTCGGAGCTGCTGAGCAAGGAAACAGGTAATACGCTCGCACGCCCACTCTAAATTTGAAGAAAAAAAAACATCGAACGTTATGAAGTACAGAAGTCAGTACTGGAAGAAATGCCTTTGAAAAAATACTACTATTTTATTTAATTCACTTTTTATTATTTTTTTTTTTTTTCTAAATGAATATCAGAAAAGACACGATTCGCCTTAGAGATGCGAGGAAATCCACAAAAAATATCCCGTTTTTAGGGCTCTTTTTACTAGTAATTCCATGTAATATGGGAAAAAAATTTTGAACACGAGGTTTAGTTCAGGTGACACCCTTTTTCCACGAAATTTTTGCATGTTAAAATTACATCTATAGCTATCACATGTATTGATATAATTTAAACATGTAAAACGCGGAAAAAGGGTGTCACCTGAACTAAACCTCGTGTTCAAATTTTTTTCCTCATAGTACGAGTAAAATGAGCCCTATCTCGAAGGTGTGGCTCAAAAAAGGTTTTTGTTTATCAAAATGGTGGACAAAAATGGAATATTTTCCGTGGATTTCCTCATATACGCATATAAATATGATGTATATAAAAAAAAAAAACCCTGTTTCGCAACATTGTCCAGAACACGCAAAATCGGCACCCAACCAGCGAGAGCTCAAATTCGTCAAGCCGGAGCTCCTGGAGGACGACGACGACTTCGACCCCCGGGCTGAGGAGACACCCGCAAAGTTCCCCGAACAGTGCATCGAGGAGGAGGAGTACGAGCAGCAGGCCAGAATCAGGGGGAGGAAGCCCTCGAGGCCCGAGGCCCTCGAAATAGCCCCAAAGGTCGTCGCCTTCGAGCTCCCGGCCCCCAGCGGGGCTGACCTACTGGTCGCGGGCGAGGAGGAAAAGGCCCTGCCGGGCAAGCCCCTCACCCCGTACTACCCGCAAAGGTCCATCGAGGAGGTCCTGCCGGCCGAGGACGACCCTTTCAACACATCGGGCATCAGCATCGAGCCCGGCAAGACCGAGCTCAAGCTACTCGAGTCGGAGCTACTCAGCGAGGACACCGGCAGAGCCCCCGACGGCTTGACGCGCAGCGTCAGCGAGCACGAGTTCGAGCCGCGGACCACGCCCGCCCCGAGTAAGAACCGCCGGCAGAGCGACTTTGGGCCCGCGGCAAAGAGCTCCGAGGAGGTCATCGAGTCCCTCATCACCAGCAACCGGAGGAAGGCCCTGCAGAGGCGACAGGACAGTATATTGGACACGGCGGTCGAGGTGACCGCCGCGCCCCTCGTGCCCAACGTCAAGCCGAGCACGATCGAGGAGGAGATCGAGTTGGCGTACAAGGATCCCTTCGACACAAGCCACATCAGCAAGATCGGGCCCGGCCAGGCGGAGCTCAAACTCATCGAGGACGAGCTGAGCCAGGTGCCCGAGCCCCAGCCCATCAGGCTCCACCCCGTGATCGAGCTCGTCGCGAAGCAGCAGCAGCAGCAGCAACTCGCCGTCGACGACGACCCGAACTTTGACCCCAGGGCTGACGAGCGGCAAACGGACATCCTCTGCAGCCTCGACGTCCAGGGGGTCGCGCCGGCCGACAAGGTTCTCACGCCGATACAGGACACCGACTCGTTCGAGGACGTGGACCCGTTCGACACGCGCCACGTCAGTATAGAGCCCGGCAAGACAGAGCTCAAGCTCCTCGAGTCGGAGCTCATCAGCCAGTAAACCCTCGCCAATCAGCGCCACACTCGCCGCCATGGATTCCAAGGGTGGCAACCCGTTCCTCGTGGACGACTACCCGGCCGCGAACACGGCCGCCTCGAACCCGTTCCTCCAGGACTTTGGGGAGCCACTGGCGGCGTCGGCACCAGGTGCGGAGGCCAACCCCTTCTTCGACTTTGTGGTGGACCAGCAGCAGCCATCGGCGACAGACTCGACGAATCCTTTCGCCGCGTTCGGGGTGGAGGAGGCCTCGGTGCCGGAGCCGGAGGTCGGGGTGTTTGTCACCCCGGAGGTCGCCTCCGTACCCCAACAGCCAACGGCCGAATTTTTCAGCCTCGAGCCCGAGGTCGCGGAACCTCCACCTCTCGTGGTTGATAGTCCACCTCGACCGGTAGCCGAGACAACGGTGGCCCCGAGCAAACCGGCGAGGCCACCACCTCCACCGAGGCCGGGACCGCCACCTCCACCCAGGAACACCAAGGACCTCATCCTGTCGGTGACCGGGGCGATGGACGAGACCTCGAACCAGATGCTGGACCGGCTGCAGGCGACCCGCACTCCCAGCCCGACCCTCATGCACTCGCCCTCGCCGACGCCGGAGCACAGCTTCGCCGACTTGCTCGACGTCGAGGGCAGCGTGCCCGAGCTGGCGTACGACGCCGGCGCCGAGGCAACGGCGCAGCAGCCCCCGGCTGCTCCTGTCACTGCCGCGGACGTCGGCGACGGTGGCCCCCAGGACATGCTGGGCCTGTTCGACGCTCCGCCGGCCCAGCCACCGCCCACCGCGTCGCGCAAAAGCAGCGCCGCGAGTGCAGGCGTGGGAGTCGGGCTGGCGGACGCGAGCCCGCCCGCTGTGCCTTCCAGGGAGGCCACGCCGCCCAAGACGTCGCAGCTGCCGGAGAATCCGTTCTCCGATGCCGGCCAGAAGAGGCCCTCGCTCGTCGCCTCGCCCACGGCCACCGGTACGCTACTCTCTAAATTTCAACAAGATTCTTCCTGGAGAAATAGTGAAAAATCAGAGTTGCCTATTCGCACCCAGTCGATACAAATTTCAATTCTAAATATTTATCAGTAATCGAATGAATGACATTGATCCAGATAAAGATATAATTGTACCTACCCGTGGCACATTACCTCAAGTTTTGTCAACAATGTGTCTACCAACTAATTTAAATAGTGAAACGTTAACTTGGTAGAAATAGTGAATTTTCATTATCATGCAGTGAAATCCACTATTTCCCAGTGAACATTCACCAGTTCAAATAAATTATAAGTACATACAACTTTGAAATAGTGAAACGGCCCGTTTAACTGCTAAAATATAATGTATATTCACTACCTTACAACGTATATTATGCACTATTTGGAAAAAGTTACTTATAACTATTTAAAATTCGGAAAGATCTTTCCCTTTACATACATTGATATATCTGTATGAAAATTGTAGAAAGCGAGGCTTTCGCGGCCCAGCCGGAGGTGGACGCCACTTTAGCGATGGACCATCAGGCCACCAACGTGTTCGGGGACGTGTCGAGCGCACCGGCGATCGACGCCTCGAGTTTTTTCTCGACGGCCGCGACCACTCCGGGCGAGGCTGTTTACGCCGACCTCCTCGGGGACCTCGGTTCGAGCGAGCCAGTACAAGAACCCGCCACCACCGTGGACTATACCTCGACCGGTCCAGCCACCGAGTATGCATTGTCCGGATACGGGTAAAGTGCATACATATGTGGATGAAAACAAGGGTGTCTTGCCGATCTCGGGTTTCATCTAGTGATTCGGGGTTTTCTCGTTTGTTGTAACAGCGCTGCTGCCGGTGACGTGAGCTTTGGCGAGTCAACGACGACGACGACGACGGTGGTTCAGCCGGTCGCGGACGCGTTCGACGCGTTTGCCTCCAAGTTCGACAGAGCCGGCGAGCACGACGCCTCGTCTGGCGGGGATCCGTTTAGCGACCCGTTCACCGGTGCCGGGGGACATACCGCCATGGACACGAGTAGCGACGGTGAGTCGGCGAGCTTCTTTTTTTTTTTTTTTTTTTTTTTTTTTTAAGAAACGAGTAGGTTGATTCGCTTAGTCTTCTTTAATAGGATTTCAATTTTATATTATTTCGTTATCATGTCCAACTGAGTATTAATATCCTTACTTTGAATGGGAAATAACAAATTTTTATGCTACCAAACGCTTTTTTAGCCATTTTAAAACGTTTTTTTCGATATTAAGGATATTATTATATTTTCAGAGAAAACATTACTGAACAAAAATGTTTTGGCTTAATGGGCTCTACGACTTTTGTATTGAACACTTTGTTGTGGAATTTGAATTTATTTCTGTAACAAGCAAAAAACGTTTTTTCCCGCTGTTTTCGTATCTATTTTGCTTTGTAGAGCGTCTGCATTGTGATACGAAGCTAAATGTGAGATTAAAAAAAAAAAAAATTGTATTCTATTGTGATACACGACTTTGGTTTTGGACACAAACGTATCAAATTTGATAGAACTAGTTGTTATTTTGTCTAACAGCGCCGATAAGTACACTAAATATGCTGTCAAAATGTTTCTTTTCGACGAAACTTGACATCAGCTAAGACAATCACTTTAGTTGATCGAAAAACTTGATAAAGTACATACGTACTTCCACTCTTCAACACATACAGTATGTGACCAACTCGTGTCACTCTCAAATTTGTTTTACATTAAAAAATAGACGATTTAAAAATGAAACTTTGGTCTGGAAAAATTACAAGGCACTCCCATAGATTGGTCGTGCCGGAGAAGAAAAAAAAAAAAACTGCTTCCGAAAGGATAACAACGATTGTCTTTTCAGTATGGGGCGACTCCACCGCGGTTTCGGACGGACAGTCGTTGTCGGGCTTTGACGACGCGGACGGATTCGACTCCTTCCTTAGCATGACGGCACCCCCACCCGAACTCGCAACTTCCAGGAGACGAGGCTCCGCCGACTCGGACGAGGCTCCGGACTTTAGCGTCGTCATCAAGTATGACACACTCACATCATCAAAAACGACCACACGTTGACTCGTACTACTGATTTTATCACGTGGTGTCCAAACAGGCCAAGGGAGGGAGACCACGTGGCGTACCAGGAGAGCGGCCCTGTCCCCGTGCTGGCCCCACCGCCCAAGAGCCCCATGTCCGCCGCTTACGCGGACAACACGCCCCGCTTCAACCCGTTCGACAAGCCGGCCGAGTTCGGCCAGGACGCCCTGACCGCCGAGGGCGCCTTCCCCGAGCTGAAGAGAACCGACTCGCAGGTATGTACTATTTTTTCCCATTTTCATACGAACGAGTAACGGCAAAAGAAAACTCGTCCATCCATCAGGAGACACCGCCGACCCCGTTGTTCGACGAGGACGTGAGCCAGCCCCTGGAGGAGTTCCCGCGGGTGCCGTACGTGGGCGACGGCTGGGAGATGCAGCTGCGCTTCCCTATAAAGAAAAAAATCACTGGCCAGCGGTTCTGGAAGAAGGTGTGGGTGAGGCTGGTCCACCAGGGCGACAACCCCGTGGTGCAGCTGTTCAACGCCAAGGGGGACAAGGATCCCTTCCAAGAGTTGCCGTTGCTGGCTTGCTACTCGGTCTCGGAAATCGCGGCCCAGCAGTTCGACCAGTACGGCAAAATATTCACGGTCAAGCTGCAGTACATCACGTACAAGGAGAGACCGGGGGTGAGGCCGGGACAGGTGACCAAGGCAGAGCGCATCACCAACAAGCTCAGCCAGTTTGCCGCTTACGCCATACAGGGCGATTACCAGGGCGTCAAGGAGTTTGGCAGCGACCTCAAGAAGCTCGGCCTCCCCGTCGAGCACGCCCCCACGGTTTGTTCCTTTTTTTTTTTTTTTTTTCCTTTGTGGAGCCTCCCGTAGGCTAGATCGAGTTGTTGTTGGTGTCGTTGGGACGTTTACGAGTTTAGCGGTGATTAAAGCCTTGAGAGCCTTGCATTCGAGTGGCGCGGGGCACTTTTTTTCCTTTCTTTTTCATCTTTTCAGCGTTACGTGGCACACCGTCAATGGGAAGGATACCGTTCTTCCCTTTGCCGTGTCCCGTTGGCGAGGAAATAGTAAAAATTAAAAAAATGTACCGCTTGCCCCATATCGAATTGCTTAAATTTGCTGCCTATAGCCTTTTTATTTTGGCCCCCGGCCCACCCGTTTGTCTTTTTTTTTTTTTCACCCGAGTCAGCGTCTTTAAGTACTCGTGTGGCGCGGGTGCTTCCGCTGTGGCCTTGAGGAGACTCTCTCGCCGTCGTCCTGCCCCAGGTCCACGCGAAAAAGCCTCTTCGTCGTCGTATCGGGTGAGCACGCCGTTTGCCAGGTGCTTTCAATCACGCTCAACTTGACAAACGCCGCTTGTTTTACGTGTATAGACGTGTAAGTGTGTGCACTTTTTTTTCTGGAAAGGGTTTTGCACATCCATTGTACATAGGTGTACAATATTGACTTTTAATCGATTCGAGAATGTTTCAATGAACTGGCTCGAATGCGTTATGTATATATGGCTCGAAGTAAGTAAACACTTTACCCAAATCAAGTTCATCATTTCTCATTGGCTGCTGATGACTTTTAATTATTTCTCTCTCTCTTTTTTTTTTTCAACTCACATTGCCTAAATTTTTTTTCAATTTCACTTTTTAAATCCAAGAGTGTCAAAGTACACATGCAAAGCGTGTAGTTGAAATTTCCATGTTCATCAAAAACTCACCCTACCCAAAATATCAGTGATGAATCAACGCTGATATCAGTCGTAAATTACATCGTTGATTCTGCGTTTATTCTATGTTGAATCAATGCTGATTCAGCGTTGAATCAACGTTGACTTATTATCAACTGGAGAACATGTTGTTGTAACAGGTTGTAAGCTTCAAAATAATCTATTTTAACTGCAAACTGCAATGCTAACATGAAAAATGCACTGTTTTAAAGTTAATTACTATTATTGTTTTCAACAAACGCTGATTCAATGCTGAATCAGCATTGATTCAACATGGAATAAACGCAGAATCAACGATGTAGTTTACGACTGATTTCAGCGCTGATATTTTTGATACTATTGTTTTTCTTCTACGATTGACGTAACAAAACTGTAGAGAGTAAAGCATTTCTGTCACAGATTTTGCACACTTGGAAGCATGTTAAATCTGTGACAGTCAAGTTTTTCAACTCCACAGCTTTCCCATACATTGGTTTTTCCCATTAAAATGTGTCCAATTTCATGGAACTGGCTAACCACTTGGTGCACCATAGATTTGGTTGTCCTCAAAATTATTATCCACGCCACCACAATGTGCTATATATAAAATAAAAATTTCAACTACACCCTTTAAACGTGTACTTTAACACACTTGGATTTACAAGCCCGTAGCAGCTGACGAAAGAGCTTGGCTTGAGTAAAATCCTCACAAAGCGCCCAAACAAGTAGCAATTTACGTAGAAACGCTTTTGCGCTGATTTGATTGATTTAAAAAATGAACTCTCTATACTTGTCTCTCCCTGTTCTTCCGTGCCCACTGCTTACTCGAACAATGTCTATGTACCGTTTTCACCATAAACACACACACACACAAAAAATGGTAAAAAAATGGACACACGAATAATAAAACACCCGATGTCCCCGCGGCTCCCACAGTCGGCGCAACTGTTCAAGTTCGGCTCGCAGACGTACGAGGACATGAAGACGTTCTCCATCGCGATCGAGGAGGCTCTGTTCAAGCTGTCGGCCCACCGGGACCGCGCCCTCCAGTACAAGATGGAGGAGGTCCAGATAAGCGTCGTCGACGAGTTGTACGTCGAGCAGAACGTCGACGGCCACGTCGACAAGCAGATAGCCCGCGTGCGGCTCTTCTTTCTCGGCTTCCTGTCTGGTGAGCTCATCCTTTTTTTTTTTTTTTTTTTTATTCTTTTTCCGCAAATTGAAACGAGGGGCAGGACAAACAAAAAAAATAAATAAATAATAACGCACTACTCTCAGGCATGCCCGACGTCGAGCTGGGGATCAACGACATTTGGAGGCAAGGCAAGGAGGTCGTGGGCAGGCACGACATCATCCCTGTGGCCACGGAGGAGTGGATCCGCCTCGAGAACATCGAGTTCCACTCGTGCGTCCAGCAGGACGACTACGAGAAGCTAAGGGTCATCAAGTACGTTTACAACTCTTGTGTTTTTGGCCAACATGGACCCTATAGCTTCCTATTTTTTTTTTTTGTTTTTTTTTTTTGCAAATCAGTAAAACAATAATTTTTCTATGCTCTAGGTTCAAGCCACCCGACGCCTGCTACATCGAGCTGATGAGGTTCCGGGTGAGGCCGCCGCGGAATCGCGAGCTGCCCCTTCAGCTGAAGGCCGTGATGTGCGTGACCGGCAACAAGGTACAGCGCTTGTACGAATAAAAAAATAAATTGAAACAAAATAATTGATATGTGGATACGTAGGTGGAGCTGCGAGCTGACATTCTGGTGCCGGGTTTCGCGTCGCGCAAGCTCGGCTGCGTGCCGTGCGAGGACGTGATGGTGCGCTTCCCGATACCCGAGTGCTGGATCTACCTGTTCCGGGTGGAGAAGCACTTTAGGTACGGCTCGGTCAAGTCCGCCCACCGGCGCACGGGCAAGATCAAGGGCATCGAGAGGTTCCTCGGGGCCGTGGACACGCTCGACCCGCAACTCATGGAGGTCACCTCGGGACAGGCCAAGTACGAGCACCAGCACCACTCGATCGTCTGGAGGATGCCGAGGCTGCCCAAGGAGGGACAGGGTACGTGTCCGACCAATCGAGGCTTTTACTACTTCTTGTTGGGGAGGAAAAGGACCAAATAACAATCCTTATTTTCAGGGTCGTACACGACGCACAATCTCGTATGCCGGATGAACCTGACGTCCTACGACCAGATACCGGAGAAGCTGACCGAGTACGCGTACGTCGAGTTCACGATGCCGACGACCCAGGTGTCCCACACGATGGCCAGGAGCGTGAGCTTCCAGAACTACGACGGCGACAACCCGCCCGAGAAGTACGTGAGGAACCTGTCGCGGCACGAGTACAGGTGAGGACGACTTGGGACCAAGGGGTGTTTTTTATTTAGCCAAAATTCCGATGATTATCATCGTCCCGGTTTTCCCGTCGACAGGGTGGAGATCGAGCACACGCAGGGCGAGGGCCCGGGCGCCTACATAAGCGCGACGACCCTCAGCACGCCCAAGAAGACGATCGCGGAGTCGAGCGGCGACGAGTCCTCCATACCAGAGGCGCCCGCACACCCACCCTCGGACTCGGACTCTTCCGACTAAAGCGCTCCCCGCGAATTGTTTGGCTGGATATTTTGGCACGACTGCTCAAGCTTTTGTAATGGAAGGGACCGTGGAAATTTATTGCACCCTGTACAGCCGAGAGAAAGTTATTTTTACGCTCCCGATGTAGAGCTGAGCGTTGCGAAGGCTTTTAAAATATATGTTGCTCGTCCCCGAGTATATATCTACATATTATATATATATACAAAGAATATAGAGGTGACGTTCGGAGATGGCGAACGGCAAGTGACGTGTGTCTGTATGAGCATATACAGTGGAGGTCACGGAGTGCCAGTCAAGTGCAGCCGGAGATCTATTATATATATATATTGTATACCTGCCAAGAGAGAGGAGAGCCACGCAAGAGTGTGACGCGGGTTCTCCAAATTTCATTGTGCGCTTTTAATTTGCGATANAACTATTAATCACACGAATAACGATGTAATGATTTTGTGGTGCATTCACTTAGACAAACTAAAAATTACGATCGAGGGGTGACACCCTCAGTGCTCATTTCGGTCAACAAACTTATATATATATACAAAGAATATAGAGGTGACGTTCGGAGATGGCGAACGGCAAGTGACGTGTGTCTGTATGAGCATATACAGTGGAGGTCACGGAGTGCCAGTCAAGTGCAGCCGGAGATCTATTATATATATATATTGTATACCTGCCAAGAGAGAGGAGAGCCACGCAAGAGTGTGACGCGGGTTCTCCAAATTTCATTGTGCGCTTTTAATTTGCGATACACGTGTGCCCTCGAGCGCCACTAGTTCTCTCTCCCTCTTTTCCTCTTATTTGCTCGGCGCCTGGAGGAATTAATGCACCGTCGCTCGCGTCGATACGAGCCTCAGTTTTTCGCGTCGTGAGGCCATTTTTTTTTATCCTTCACTCCTAATGGGTCTGTTTTTATTGTGCAAATTTTTTTTTTTTTTTTTCTTCTTTTTAAGGCTGATGGAGAAAAAGAGAGGGAGAAATGAAAAATCAATGTTCATCAAAAACTCACCCTACCCAAAATATCAGTGATGAATCAACGCTGATATCAGTCGTAAATTACATCGTTGATTCTGCGTTTATTCTATGTTGAATCAATGCTGATTCAGCGTTGAATCAACGTTGACTTATTATCAACTGGAGAACANCATCACCCGGTGAGATTATACCAATGTAGCATAAGCATTTGCTTGTATCATGCAAAAAGACATTAACTTATTTTGACGAATTTACGATGGCAAAAAAAAAATAGGTACATGTATTGTTAGCTTAATCATATCCAATTATATACAAAGTGAAGGGAATCCGGGAGTCTCGTCCGGCTATAGCATGTATTTTAATACTCATAGGAATGAAAACCATATAATTTATGCATTAGCGTGTACGTATGAAAATTGAAGAAGAAAAAACAGGATGATATGTACAATGTATATTATTATTATAAGATATTAATACGGCATACAACAATGAAGAAAGTTATTTCAGAACGACCACGTAATAATAAAATTAAGGCAAATAATGTAACGTGATGTATATCCATTAAAAAAAAAATTACAAACAATATCGAACCTATACGTTAAATTAATGATAATATCACGATATAGCCAATCAAAGGCATCCAACGGTGGAGTTGTGTAAAACGTTACCGGACGATTAAACTGCACGTAATACAATGATACAATACGTAAACAAATAAATAATATATCCATAAATTAACGTGCGAGAATTATGTGTATGTGCATGAGAAATAATCGCGTGAGGAAACAAGTGAACAATGTAAAACGAGTGTTGACAATGACACCCATGATGATATAATATATATGGTAACTTAATACAAGTATGCGTATTATTAAGAGGTAATGTAAAATGATAACAGTAAGTTATGACATGTACACACCTATATAGTTAAAATAACAAATAAGCAAATGCGTACTCGCGAGCATATTCCAAAAAAACGCGAGTCAGAGAAAAAGAAAGCAAACAAAGCAAGTATTATTAATGCCATAGATAATATATATATACATATTATAACGATGCTTCGTGATGTACCTTAAAAAAATTAGCTCGAATCGGTATGATATATTACACGCGCACGACGAGTTATAGGTAGTTAGGAATACATATATATTTTCGGACATGTGGATTTACGGTCGAGCTTGTATAGATGAATTCAAATAAGGATAAGTTAAGTGCATACACAAGTGTGTATGTGTAAATATAAAAAATATATATATATATATAGTGTACGCGAGCGTAAAAGTATACAGATAAAAGCTACAGCTCGGATTGTCTTGATTTTCAGCTGCGCACTCGCTAAATTCCGGGAAGAAAAAAAATTTCAAAAAAAGTTGCGTAACTCCGATAATTAAATAGTTGCATTAGCGCAGCGGCGCGGAATTAGCATCCATTGCGTAATGATAACAATAATAGTTATGCATCCGGTTATCCTAGCGCTCGAGTGTCATAGAGTTCCTTTGGGAGGAGAGACGTGGTTGGATAGAAAGAAAAGACCATATTTCCTAATGTAATTTCCAAACTTGCCTTTGACGTTGTACCCAAAAATATGTGTATTGAAAAAAAAAAAAAAAAAAAAAAAACCAGTAATTACGATTGCATCGTATATAGTCTCGCTGTTGTTAATTCCAATTTCACGCTGACTCGCATGTATGAACAAAACACTGTACTTATTAAATGGAACAAATAAAAATAAAAATGTTGGCCACTCGTTAACGTCGTATTTCTCGCCTCGAAAGTGCGCGCGCGCGAGCCTCTTATACACAATCAAGTTGTATTTCACGGTGTATTTATTTGAAAAAAAAACAAAAAAAAAAAAAAAAACCTTTAACGCGTCGCCTAGGTGTGCCACGTGTACCTTTTTGTCCGCGTGAGTAAATGTACATACAACCTATACACATATACAAATACGGTTTAGAGTCGCGGGAATAAAAAAAAGTACGGGCTTAACCGGTGTAAGCGTACTTATGTTGTTGAATAGGGAGGGAAATTTTAAACGACTGGCGAAAGAGCGTAAATGACGAGCGAGGAAAGCCTGAAAAGATATTTTTACATGGTAATACGACAATGTTGGAGAAATTGTGAAGAAACAGAAAAAAGCCAGAGCATCTTTTATCACCTGAAGTCATTTGGGCTCTTTCCTCGATTCGCGTGTAAGGTCGGGTGATAGTTTTAAGTCCCTTGGTTACTCGTATCTTTTATTTGGCGGCGAAAGTCGCCCCCGTCTCCGACGCTCCAGCTAGCTCACACCTAGCGACGTCACAGCTAACGCCAATGATCGACTAGAACCTCATTATATTTATGTATGTATACATATATATATATACACGCGTCTCCTTCGTAAATCACATATCTCTCCAAAGATGCGTGATCCTGTAGGCATATAGTGATACAAACGTTACGTGTAAGGTAAAAATAAGCTAGTTGGATAAGTTTTATTTCATTTTTGAATTTTTCGTTCAATCGTTCTCGCAAGAGTGTGAATCTAGTCAAATGGAACAAAAAGCCGCAGTAGTCGACCGTTGAAATCACCATCGGATCGTCACTGTCGCGCTTCATAGATTGTAAGCTGTAGGTCGTAAGAATATTATTTCTAGTCCACCTCCTACAAGTTAATTTTATGGTATCAACAGTTTATTTTTCTGCTGTACACCTATACTTGTGGGTACAAAAAAAAAAAAAAAAAAAAAAAAAATTATTTCAAGAGTCGTCATAATGTGCTGTTGTACTTTTTAAGTTACCAAAACTATTAATCACACGAATAACGATGTAATGATTTTGTGGTGCATTCACTTAGACAAACTAAAAATTACGATCGAGGGGTGACACCCTCAGTGCTCAATGCGGTCAACAAACTTAAAATTATTGTACAAGCGTACTACATGATGGCGTCGTTTTGTTGTCACAATAAAATGTTTGAAAAGTACACTAACCGAAGCAATTCGCGCATAATCAGTTGAATTTTAATTAACGAGCATCGTAGGATTCAAAATTAATTAACAAGCAATAAAGTAAAATTACACAATTCGAACAACAATGAGCATATCACGAAAGCAAAGGGTACACGATAAAATAGTAATAATCATAACGATAGTAGTACATGCGAGGGAACATTTCATTGCGTCAACAAAACTGCTTCGATGAGATCGTTATCTCGTCAAAGCCCAAAGGATTAATTTTAAGTAAAGTATATATAATATATGATAACACGTAAGCTGCGCAGAGAATAATTTCTAGCCTAAGGTACCTATACAATACACTTTGAACTACACACCGTTGATTGCTTATCCCTATGCAGAGAGAGAGAGAGAAAAAAAAAGTCCATCGTACAAATTAACGCGAACATAATATACATACACATATTATACATTATAGATACACCGATACGTATCGTACAGAGACACGCTTATAAACATCATCATGTACGCGCGAGCACTCGCTTTCATGTACATATACGTTGTGAAAATGCGATAGGAAAGTTTTTAATTTAACTTAGGTGCTATACGTATAGAATGTACCGGATAAATTACGCGCAGGGTGTCAGAGAAAAGAGGACCGTCTGTTGTTTGGCTGCTACTTTTTCCAATAGCGTTTAATCGTGACTTAATTTTTTTTTTTTTAAGATGAAAAACCACGCAGCGATTTGATTTTCAACGGTTCTGTCGATGTACAAAAGTCAAACGTTTCACTTGAAAATTACAGTGTACAAACGACAGCCAGAAGCAGGTATAGGAGAAAAACAATTCGCGCACAATCGAGCCGAGTTGAGGAAATACAATGCCAAGTGGTAAGGAGGGCTGTTACCACGCCACTTTGTCATGATCTGTTGTTTGTAAAGGGTAAGGCGAACCAGGACGGAAAGAGGAAAAAGATGGTGTCGACAAAACTCGCGCGTATAATAATAAAACCAATGACGCGAGTTTTCCCAGCTTGTGATCTCAGTAACGTATTCGTTAGCACGCGTTTATTGCCAGAACGAACAAACGAATAACAATTGTAATAACATAGCCGTATAGCCATGATATATATAAATATAATATAAATGAAAATCAGAGTTACTAGGAAAATAAAGTATATAATTATATTATACCTATAAGACAGTTGGTTTGAGATACAAGTATTAAAAAGAAAAAAAAAAGAGTAATAATAATTATAATTAATTTAAAACGTTGTATATGCGTTGGAGGCGAGACGAATTCTATGATGCATCACCCGGTGAGATTATACCAATGTAGCATAAGCAT